TGATGATGATGATGATGATGATTATTATTATTATATTTCAATTATTAAACTGTCTTTATCTCAACCCACAAGTTTTCTCACTTTTACTCTTCTGATTCTCTCCCCCATCCCACTGGGGTGGGGGGTGAGCGAGCGGCTGTGTGGTGCTCCGTTGCCGGCTGAGGTTAAACCACGACAAGTTCATAGCAGCATACGGTATAGTCAAGCCTGTTATCTTTCTCCTTGTAACAATGTAGTCCTAAAGTAATTGGAGTTCATTTTACTGTAGAAAAAACAATTATATTGGCTGTTGAGGTATTTTATCAATATATGTTCTTCATTACTTGCTGCATTTTCATCAAGGTGCGTGTCTATAAAACAATATTTTGCCTTGTTCTTTCTTTTTCTTTTAGTTCATTTAGGTTTTTTGTTCCTGCATCCGCCTAACAGTAGCAGAGTTCATTGCTGAGGTTCTGGTTTTAAAAGCCAACCAGCTCTTCTAGTTGCTTCTTTCTGAGTCCTGGTCTTAAATTAAATTACGCTGACCAAACCCTTATAGAATCATAGAATCATAGAATCATTAAGGTTGGAAAAGACCTCTAAGATCATCAAGTCCAACCGTCAACCCAACACCACCGTGCCCACTAAACCATGTCCCTAAGTGCCTCATCTACACGTCTTTTAAATACTTCCAGGGACGGTGACTCAACCACTTCCCTGGGCAGCCTGGTCCAATGTTTAACCACTCTTTCAGTAAAGAAATTTTTCCTTACATCCAATCTAAACCTCCCCTGGCGCAACTTGAGGCCATTTCCTCTCGTCCTATCGCTAGTTACTTGGGAGAAGAGACCAACACCCACCTCGCTACAACCTCCTTTCAGGTAGTTGTAGAGAGCGATGAGGTCTCCCCTCAGCCTCCTCTTCTCCAGGCTAAACAACCCCAGTTCCCTCAGCTGCTCCTCATAAGACTTGTTCTCCAGACCCCTCACCAGCCTCGTTGCCCTTCTCTGGACACGCTCCAGCACCTCAATGTCCTTCTTGTAGTGAGGGGCCCAAAACTGAACACAGTATTCGAGGTGCCGAGTACAGGGGCACGATCACTTCCCTACTCCTGCTGGCCACACTGTTTCTGATACAGGCCAGGATGCCATTGGCCTTCTTGGCTGCCTGGGCACACTGCCGGCTCATGTTCAGCCGGCTGTCACTTTATCTCACTTGTATAAAAATGGACTGCTGTCTTTGATGCAAGTTTCTAAAGCAGTCTGAGACTTTGCAAGATGTAAATAGTGTAATCAGCAAAGAAGGCTTATAATGTCAAGAGTGTCAGCTGAAAAGAAAAACTGATTCTCCAGAAAATGTTTACATGGTTCTACTTGATCTGAGGATGCTATACCAGATAACGTAGTCTTTAATTCCTTTACTCATTGATCTGTATTTAAGCATGTATTCATGCACATGCTGTAAACGCATTGGTCCTTTGCAACCTGAAGGAAAATATGCAAATCGAAGGATTTGATAATACTTTAAAGTGTTTGAGCACTTGATTAAAGGACAAGCAAGACAGAAGCCTAATTTCTTCCGATTCCTTTCTTTTGATTGAAATAATAAAATGCATAATACTATTTCTTCTCTTTTATTCACATTTCTTTCCTGAGCTTATAGCTTGTCTTTTTTAAAGCTACGATATAGTTGATTTTTTCCCTACCGTCATTCTGCTCTTAAGAGGGGTGTAGAAGTGACTCACTTTCTGCCTAATGCTGCCTTTAATTGATGACTCATCTGCTCATCCCACTGTTAGTAGTCTCTTATGTGCTGAGGTTGATCAGTAGGTGTTCCACGTAGCCTCCTATTTAGATACAGACTGTTACAGTGCCGTTCTTCAGGCATAAATGTGCCTGGCCTATTTGGCAACAGCTTTCTGATGTTTTCCCCAATCAATCGTTATGACAGAAAAAGAACCAGTCACTGACGGATCCCGAAGGAAAAGGAGTGTGTCTTTACAGCCAGAATATTCAAAAGCTTCTGGAAGTCTTTCACTCCTGAATAGGGATGGTACCTCTCTCGCTCGAGTCCTTGACATGTGAAGCTTCTTAAAATGAGAAAAAGGAAATTTCTGTGATTATGTTAAAACTGAAAAGGCCTTTGTATGTCAAGCCTGTCATCAACTAAGCATTATCTCCAATTTGAGTTTTACCCCATCCTTTTCAGCTCTGCTGTTCAGAGCCTTTGTCATCGAGTCTAAACATGACATTGAGCATTGAGTCAGCATTCAGAAATACCCATCCTCATCTAGCTCACAGCAGCTCTTGTGCTCTGCATTGTTAGTTCACACAGTATTTGGGTTAAAATGACATTGTTTTTAACATTATATTTAACAGTAACTGGAAGTGTTGCTTGTTTCTGTTTAGATGAGAGTCCTTACACAAAGTCTGCAAACCAGGCAAAGCCACCTGATGGAGCACTGTCTGTGAGGAGACAGAGTATTCCAGGTAAGACTTGCTTTGCTTTTTATAACACCTAACTTGTTTGTGAACAGCAAGGTAATACTAATCAAAATTCAGCTAGTTATAAAAAGCAAATGAATTACAGTTGCTACCAAGCAACTTTATAAGGAAGGTTCCATGGGAGCTGTAAGGAGTTCCCGCAGTTAGGTTACTTGGGCTTTTGCTGTGAAGAGCATCCCCGTGTCTCTGTCTTTTGCAACAGATTTCAGACATTGATCACGACAACCTTTTCATCAGAGGCTCGCATATTTTCAGGCCCCGTGAAATCTGTTCTTTGGTACCTGGTTTCGATGGTATAAGCACATTGGCTCATATTTTCCACTGCTGATCGGACAGGCTCAGAAATCTAGCAGAGCAACACTCTGTCAGAGTTCTCATCTTCATGTGATTTTCTGCCACACGTATGCCATCCTTGTCTTTTCTGTCATCCTATCGCACAAAGCTGGACCGCTAGATCAATGGTTAAAATATGTGATCTTCGAACCTGTGTCTCTTAATTACTTCAAACAAGTCTGCAAAATGTGCCTATGAAAAGCCACTTTTGTATGTATTATGCAGCAATCTAAAGGGATTTTCACCTCAAGTAAAATTTGAGAGATCTTTTAATGAAAACAAATGAACACTGACAAAGGTTGTGCACAGGCAGAATAACTGTTATTGCCAGTCTCACCTCAAGCACAGTACCCTCTGACTCGTAGGGAAGATGTATTGCAATAGAAATCAGAGACTGTAACGTCATGTCACCGACCTTCTAATGACTAATGTTAATATTCTCTGCACTCCATGGCCTTATTATTGAACAAAGTCACACAACCCACAGGGAGGCTGTGTGGATGGATACAGGGGATAGAGCTCAGACCTTTACCACTGCCAGGCTCAGATCTCATCCCAGTAACTGTAGTGTTTCTGAAGGGCCAAAGTACATGTTTTGTGGATGCTTTGTGTGCATGTTTATATGCGTGAGAGAGAGATGGATGATTTACTGTTGCTTATAATGAACATTTTTGTCTGTTGAAAACATTCTAGTGATTTAAAGATTGTTATTTTTATGGTAGAATCATGAAGGTCATAACCATTGTGAAATGACACAACTACAGTGTCCAGTGTACAGTTATTGTTGTGAGAAACTCTTTAATTATACAAACACCAACCAGATTTTTTTTCTCTACGTCAATACAAATCAAGATTCATTGTTCTTCAGAGTGAATTAAGACAGGTACCTCTTCAGGTAATGCTTTAGCTCATAAGTCACTAATATGTAACATACTAAGTATCTACTTTTTTTTTTTTTTTAAATCTTTTGAATTTTTTCACTGTGAACTTAGCAGTTGTTATTTATGATGTGGTTATTGTATTTACAAAACACTTATGCTAAGGTCCGAATACAGACTGAAGTTCATGGTTTCACATGACATTTTGAGAACTCCTGATGATTTTCAGTTGTGTTCTTTAAAGAGAAGGTTTGATGAAAGTTGAAGCAATTTTTCTTTAGAGTGTTTGATAAGATTAGGAATTTCAAGTGTTGAATAGTTGTCATGATCAACAACCATTTATTTTGAATTTTTTTTTAAAGTTGCTGTATATTATGGAGTTTTTGAGAGCATTGCAGATAAATCTTTCTGTGTGCTGTGCATGAGTCACAGTTTGTTCAGAGAAATAATACTGACAAGTGTTTGGTGAGATGTACTCTGTTTCATTTCAGGTGTTCTGAAAAAACTGATCTAAGCTTATGTATGTTCTTCAGCTTTTAACATAGTGAAGACATTTATCTTAACTCATTCTTGCATCTCTTGACCTTAGGAGCCCCAAAAGATAAATGAGATTGAGCTGGTTGGATATTAAAAAAAAATAACTAAAAGTTCTTCATGCCCTGATAAATTCACATTCTAGCACAGTGGATGTTGTGGGTTTGGATACATAAATACCTTTGTAAAACTAAGCACTGTTTTGGGAAGTAAATTGAACATTTAGGAGTTGACTGAAGTGTCTGAAAATAACCCATAAACTTTTGTATCACTTGGACACTGAGAAAATTTCCCCCCACATTTCATATGTAAACTAGCACCTTGTAAATAGCATCCATTCTTGCTTGTCTGTGGGCAGATTAGTCTTGACACAGATGCAGACGCATCCCAGCTAGCCAGCTTGGCTTGGCAGTAAGAGGAGTACTAGTAGTATTAACTAGTAGCATTAACCAGTTTGAGACCAGAAGTAGTACAGCTGCTTTTGCTTGGGGGCAGGATCTGTCTTCTGACAGTATGTAGGTCAGCTCCAAATAGCTTCTGAATTGGAAGGTGTGATGCAATGAACCTGGTAAATTTTTCTAGACCTGGACGGACACGTGCCAGCTGGAGTTACTGTCAGTAATCCTTACATGGAGAGCACACACTGCATGGAAAGCATTCCTTTCTATTCCCCCCAGATGGTATGCCTGATAAAACATCACATTCCTGAAAGTGCTGTTTTTTCAAGCTTGAAGCATGGCAGTGCCTTTGACAGTATAGCTGTCTAATCCACTTGATGCTCTGTCATTCCTGAGACACGGACAGCAGATGTCCTATTCCCAAGGAATGCTCTGGCCGTTGAATCAGCCAAAAGAAAACTTGTGGTTTTTAGCAAGGTAAATGATCTTATACTGAGCTTTGCACAGGTTTGAACAGTCTGTGGAAAAAATACTAGTGAAAATATATATCCAGGATGTGTGATGTAAATCTTCCAGTGTCGTGTGGGATCGTGTCATCTCCCTGTGCCTGGTGAAAGTTCCTTCTTGTGACATTTGAATTCACTTTAAAGGATTCCAGTGCTCCTTCCTTTGGCCAGGTATCAAAAAGAGGAGCTTTTGTTGCTGTGAGACCTGAAACTACTACACCAACTGTAAACCCCAAGAGGTTGTTCTTATCCTTCCATGTGAAACTGTATTGAAAGTGCAGTATTGATGAGCAAAGACTGAATGCACAGAGAAGTAATATAATTCTATAGAGGTTACATGGTGCTCAGGCTTGGTTTATTTTACAGGAAAAAATGTTGAAATAATCATTTTATAATTAAAGTCAAATGAGCACATACTGTGAAATCAGTGCACTGAGTTTTAATTCCTTTCATCCCCAGAAGCAGGGAATGGATTAAGCAGAACTCTGCTCCAGAATTCTGGAGCAGAACTTCCTCGCTTAAGATGCAGAATGCATTATTCATGTGATGAGACTACATGTCATATTTATCATGTCTTCACATGGCACAAAATCAACAAGTAACAGATCCTTTCAAAGGGATTTACAGAATTGCTGAAATCATAGTTAATTCAAATTATATGCATTAATATAATTGCAGTTTGAAATGTGGACTTAATTTTGCAGGTGCGTAGGTGTTTAGTTATATATACATGATTGTTTGAAACATTATTTAGCTTAGAATTTCTTAACGTAAAATGAGGCTTGAGGTAACGCCAGCATGACAAGCAGCCTGCAAAGTAAGAAACAAACAGGCTTTCTCCTCTGAACCTTTAAATTTAGACTGTCGACCAGTATATTATGGAACCTTATTGCTACTCTGCCCATGTTACAGAAGCCAAGGAGGTGTGTACTGTGCCTCATTCAGGAAACTATCACTGTCGGACTAGTACTTAGGCACATAAATGAAAGCAACGTGTTTCGAAATTCATGGCTGAGACCCTTCCCTCAGAATCACAGATGCAGTTAAAAACATCTGTCATTTAAAAATGAAGTATTTGATACTCACTTGTTAACTAACGTCTTGAATCCCTAGGTTTAGATGGCCATAGTTCCCATTGAGTTCTGGGCTGAGGTTTCCTCCTGGCTTGCCGAGGGTCCGAAGCGGTGCCTAGCCAAGGGGAAGCATTAGGTCAATAGCACTTGAGTCAAAGGTGTCATTCCTGTGGTTGCTTATTCCTGCGGGAGCTTTAAAAAGGGCATCAAGTATTCCAACAGTACTGATACAATGTCAAGAGCTGATGACACTGTTAAAGAAATCAAGGCGACTAACATATGCTTAAAGATAAGCATGTTCTCAGTGCTGACCTGAATGTGGACAGGCTGAATAGCTGCTCCCATGCTTTCCAGTCTAAAATCCAATGCCCTCTTACCTGTTTTAACAACATGGAGAAATCTGTCGACACTAATGCTGTGCAGATTGTTCACTTCATTTATTTATTTGTCTATTTTCCATTCACTCACTGAAAACTGGGGGGATGGAGGTGAAAGAAATGACCTGACACAAGCATAAAAATAATTCCTCCATGAAACAAAAAAAAAGACACCATAAATTTGAGGCTGATTAAAATATTTCATAAAATCTGCAACAAAAGTTCCATTTTGGTATTAGTCCAATTCTGTACATGCTTTTTATTGAGACTTAAAAGTTACTATTACTAAAAAAACATTTTAAAATTAATAGTCAAAAACCCCACAGTTTTTAAAGAGCTGAAATGTTTCAGCTTCTCAATGTTTTATTTTTGTTGGCTGAAATCATTAGTAAGTTTCAGTTAAATTCTGCAAATAGTTTTGGTTGGGTTGAAAGTCTATTTTTTTAGGGAAAAGCTAATTTGTACCCAATCTATTTGACATTAAATTAAAAAAATCCATACTTCTTACTTCTTGCATCTACTGACTCGGACATCTGCACTATGGGAGACTTCTAGAAATGTGAAGTTTTATTGCCCGAAGTGGTCAAGGACTATAATGCAAACTGTAGTCTGGGACAGGTACTTGAATAATCTGTGAATTCAGAGATTTAGTTTAGCTAGGAGGATTGCAGTCATGTAGCTGTCTCTCTCTAAGTAAATTCTTGTTCAAGGAAGCGTCGCCAAATAACGAGGAAACATAGTGGGAATATTTCCTCAAACAGAGGAAATTTCCTTTTCTCTGGGACAGAAGAATAACACAGCTGCCTGCCTTCTGCCCTGCTCAACACACCTAGCAAAATGTCCTTGAAGTCTTGCCCCTCATCACGTTGTCCTTGATCCACTGGTG